GCTAATGTTGGGCTATAAATGAACTACAGCACGGTCACATGACTTCACGTCACCACCGCTAAGCTAAAGGAGGCTAATGTTGGGCTATAAAGGAACTACAGCACGGTCACATGACTTCACGTCACCACCGCTAAGCTAAAGGCGGCTAATGTTGGGCTATAAAGGAACTACAGCACGGTCACATGACTTCACGTCACCACCGCTAAGCTAAAGGAGGCTAATGTTGGGCTATAAAGGAACTACAGCACGGTCACATGACTTCACGTCACCACCGCTAAGCTAAAGGCGGCTAATGTTGGGCTATAAAGGAACTACAGCACGGTCGCATGACTTCACATCACCACCGCTAAGCTAAAGGAGGCTAATGTTGGGCTATAAAGGAACTACAGCACGGTCACATGACTTCACGTCACCACCGCTAAGCTAAAGGAGGCTAATGTTGGGCTATAAAGGAATTACAGCACGGTCACATGACTTCACGTCACCACCGCTAAGCTAAAGGCAGCTGATGTTGGGTGTGATGACTTTTACTCGTCTCATTTAGACACTTGTTAGCAACAGTTTTTTAAATACACCAGTGGGGTATTTACTGACATTTTATGTTGTCGAGCAAAACATTAAAGTCTCATCAGCTTGTGTTAACCACAGACCTTATTTCAGGATAACAACCAAAAACACATTCAGCAAACCATTGACCTCCAGACCAAGGGGACAGAAAGTGCTAAAATGCTGACTCATGTTTGGTTATGAGGACTCATTCCTGCAGCTCTGTATTGCTGAGTGTGTGTGTGTGTCCTGGAGCTCTGTGGTGTGTGTTGTGTTAATGTGTGTGTTGTCCTGTCCTGTAGCTGGTCTCTTGTGGCCTGTTGGAGACTCTGAAGTTTAGTGTGCTGGAGTTACAGGAACACCTGGACACCTACAACGCCAAGAGGGAGGCAGCCGAGCAGGTGAGACCCCGCCCATCATCATCATCGTCACTTCCTGTTCACTTTACTGCCTTTTACTGATCTTTTTACAGACAAACATCAAGTCAATACATGAAAATCAAACATTTAACACAACATCACAATCACTGAGAGAAAATGTGCCTACACTGATATTACTTCGGGGAAAACTTCAATTAAAACATCATAAATAAAATGTATTAACCTTTTTACATTTCCCAGAAACTTCCCTTTCTTTTTGAGTTTACAACAATTAATTTTAGACTCCCAGGATCTGGACTTTAAACATTTAGATTCCCACAATCAGGATCATGTTAGGATCATCTAAATAAAGTGCAGACGATGCAGAGAGAAGGTGTTTGAGCCTGATCTGCAGAACCTGTCCTTGTTAGACTTTGCTTAAAGAAAATGTTGATGACATCACTTTAGGCTCCACTGAAATAACCATGAAGCAAACACACACTGCTGTGTGTGTGTGTGTGTGTGTGTGTGTGTGTGTGTGTGTGTGTGTGTGTGTGTGTGTGTGTGTGTGTGTGTGTGTGTGTGTGTGTGT